TCGCACTGCTCAGTGACAGCGTGCAGAAAACGACGGTAAGCAAGCTCCCCCGAGTAGCATGTATTGTCCCGGCAGGCTTGTACTGATTTGTCGCCGAGATAATTTTGATCTAATGCCCAAGAAGATCCCTAGTTTTGCCTGCTATTCACTTCGTGTGGGTGGAATACGGCATCGTTGTGGTACCTCAAATATCGTCAGCCAGTTTAAATGCCATTCGAATACTGCATAGCACAAACTTTACGCAAAAAAGGGGATAAAGTCATATCGCACACTCAGCATTTCACCATTACGTGTGCAAACATCCAAATTTAACACTGCGATATCGCTGGGGCTACAACCGCCCTGTTCCCAACTGTTCTCATGTCCGAATCCAGCCTCCGGCCTCAAAAGGCGCGCCTCCTCCTCTGACCGTCCCCAGAGCCCCTCTGCCTGCCCTCACCGAGCGTTTCCCCCTGACCCCGCCCCCAGAGCCCCCCTGCCTGCCCTCACGGAGCGGTTTACCCTGACCCCGTCCCCACAGCCCCTCTGCCTGTCCTCATCGAGCGTTTCCCCCTGACCCCGTCCCCAGAGACCCTCTGCCTGCCCTCACCGAGCGAGTGTGTCCCCCTGACCCGCCCCCAGACCCCCGCTGCCCTCCCACGAGTGTGTCCCCTGACCCGCCCCCAGAGCCCCCCTGCCTGCCCTCACCGAGTGTGTCCCCTGACCCCGTCCCCAGAGCCCCCCTGCCTGCCCTCACCGAGTGTGTCCCCCTGACCCCGTCCCCAGAGCCCCCGTGCCTGCCCTCACGGAGCGTGTTTCACCCTGACCCCGTCCCCACAGCCCTCTGCCTGTCCTCATCGAGCGTTTCCCCCTGACCCACCCCTCGCCCCAGAGCCCCCTGCCTGCCCTCACCGAGCGTGTCTCCGAGCTGGACGATGGCGCGCCGGTTCAGCTCCGGCCGGTGAGTCGTGTTGGAGAGGATCATGGCCAGGTGCGGCCGCCAGTCGCCCCAGCGCTCGTCAGCGCAGCTCTGCGGCCCAGGCGACGGACGGTCACGCGCGGTCGGCTTCCGCACGAGCGCAGCTGGGCAGCCGCCGGCAGCGGGCCGACACCGCGCGGCGAGCAGGCTCCACCCCAGCCGCAATCTTATTCACCCATACGCCAGACTTCGCTCGGCAACACTGCGGTCACAGAACAGCACAAAGCCGCACACAAACCACACCAGCAACGTTTACGCCGAACACCATTCGTAGCAACGCAAGCGAAACGCGACCGCGTCGGCTTGCCGCCGCCGCTGACTGACCGTCGTGCAGGAGGGTTGCCGGCCCGACATCAGCTGGTACAGCGTCTGCAGCGGGTCGTTGTGTAGCAGGCCGTTGGCGAAGCGCGCCATCACCTGGCCGTAGGTGCGCTGGTCCATCTTGCTGGCCAGGAACAGGGCGTGGCCCCAGATGCCCTGCCTCATTGCCCACTCTGTGAAGGGGGGGGGGGACGGTCAGAGGTATAGTCAGATGGGCACAACCCACGGTCTGGTGGGCGGGCCCGCTCGGGCCGCGGCACACTCACGGCAAGCGCCGGCAGTCAGAACCACGCCACAAAGAATGCGCTGGCGTTTGACGAGAGGGGAGAGGTGCAAGCGTCACCGGCCACATACCATGGTCCATGCAAGCTCACGGGCCATATCAACGAGCAACAGTTTGTTCTTCCCTGCCCTTTGGACACATACGACAGAAAGCCAATGTTCACTTGCATACTGCCCATGACGTCATTTGTTGGACTCAGTATCGATGCAGATGAGTCTTAACGTCACCAGCAAGACTGCCGAGGGTGTCCCGCCCTCCGCCCGGCGTCCCCCGCCCGCGCCCGAGTCCCGTCCCTTAACGAATGTCCCTGCCTGCGCCGCATCCCCCCCCCGCGTCCGCCCTCCGCCCAGGTCCCATCCTACACCCAGCGTCGCTGACCCGCGCCGCCTCGCACCCTGCGCCCAGGGTCTCCGGCCTCACCGAGCGCCTCCTTGCGGTGTCCGTAGAGCAGGAGTTCGGTGAAGCGTCGGACGGCGCGTGGCTCCGCCGGCCGCTCGGCGCGCGTCACCAGCGCCCTGTCGACGGACCGGCGGCCGGACGGCGGCCCGTCCTCCTCCTGCGGCTCGGCCGACTCGGCCGTCACCGGGTCCCGGTCCCGCAGCAGCAGCTCGGCCATGTCCGAGCCCACCACCATCTGGCGGCGAGCGGCGGCCGGCGGGTCAGCCGGGCGGGCCGAGGGCGCCAGCCGGTGGACACGGCCGGCAGACTGTGGCAGACTACGGCAGGCGGACAAGGCCGGCAGACTGTGGAAGACTGAAAGACGGGCACGGCCCGCAGACTGCGGGAAACTGCGGCAGGCGGGCAGGCCGTGGGAGACTGCGACAGGCGGAAACGACAGGCAGACTGTGGGAGCCTACGATAAGCGGACAAGGCAAGCAGACTGCGAGAGACTACGGCAGACAGACTGTGTAGAGACTGCGGGAGACTTAGACGGGTCGACGTAGCAAGCGGACTGCGAGAGACTGCGGCAGACAGACTGCGGGAGACTGCAAAAGACAAACTGCGGGAGACTGCGGAATACAAGCTGCGAGAGACTGCGGCAGACACCGTCCCACGGGCGGCCAGACACGCACGTCACGCGGTCCGACCGCACACCGTATAAGGGGCATGGCACACGCACACCCTACCACACGACTCGCACGCGAGGCGTTCACATGACAGGTCGCAGACACTGGTGCAGGGCCCCACAACACAGGCGCAGGGCGGCGGGAGTACGCAGACTGCAGACATGTGGCACGACACGACATATAACATGGGGCAACGTCCGGCGCGGCCACCTGGGTGGACGAGGCGCCCCCGGAAGGTCACAGGAACAAGACCAGGCGGGCTTGACTGCTGATCACAAGCTGGTGATGGTGATGGAAGGACAGCGGACCCTCGCGGAGCCACACACTTATCCACCTTACACTTACACAGTTATCAATCTCTGGAAGTGCATCCTGCGATATTCAGTTTATAGCGCCGGCATGCTTGCTAGCTTATCGATGTCAGCCAGTGGCAATTTCGCTAGGCATGGCCTGCAGTCAACCATGCCGAACCTAGTTTACTTTACCTTGCCTAACCCAAGCCAACCCCAGCTACAGTCCTGACCACTGTTTCAACTCAGTACCAGCCACACGCATCGGCAGACCACCTAGTCCGGGACTCAGCCACACGCGGCCCTCCCGCTGCCCCGTCGCCGCCCGCCCAGCCGCAGCCGGCCGGCACCCCGGCGTCGCCTCACCCCGTTCTGGCGGATGAGCAGCAGCAGCAGCTGCCAGATCAGCAGACACGACTCCTTGTCGACCAGCGCCGGCTGCTGCTCGGCCTCCCGCATCTTCTGCTGACAGAACTGCAGCACGCTGTTCTTGTGCGTGTCGTTCCTGGGAAGACGGCCCGGCAATGCTCACAATCGGCGCGGTCATCAGTCTACCGGCTGTGGCGCGTTCCCGTCGCGGCTGCGTTAAAATTGACGCCTCCCGAAAATTTACGAACGCGCCGAACAAATAGCGACACTGCAACCCCTGTTGGAATGATTGAGTTTGCAGATGCAGATGATCACAAGGGATGATAACACGGGTGCAGATGACAGGACCTTATGACACATGGCAATACGGTGTTCCAATGACGGACAAAAACACCCGGGATCCAACGGACCCACAGCAAGCGAGATGACAGACATCAGCTCTCTAGCACCATCCTGGCGGGACTATCAACGGCCGATCGCTCCCCATCCCCACATCGCGAGAGATGGTGGCTCACTTGACGAGCGGTCCGGGGAAGCGACGCAGCTCGGCGGCCTCGGGCGTGGCCTGCAGCAGGGCGCCGGTGTCGTGTAGCTCCACCAGGGCGGCGCTGCCGTCGGCCGGACTGTGCGGCAGCACGCGCACCAGATGGCCGGACGCCGAGAAGCGCACTGGCCGGGGCGCACGCCGGGCGATGTCAGAGGTCAGAGGCCGCGGCCACACTCGGGCGCGCGCTTGCCCGCCATGCCAGCGCCGGCTGACCATCCTGTGGTGCTGCTCTAGGGCGCGTTCACGGCTGCTGAAGACGGCCGGGACACTGAGCTTCTTGCGTTAAGGAGCAAAGAGCCCCGGAGACAGGTGACTCTCGCTCAGAAAATGAGGATCCTGAGTGCCGTTTACGGCATTGACATTCCGTCACCCTGACGGTCCAAGACACCAATGTGACCTTCCATCCAGGCCAACCCGCCAAAGCAGAGGAGGCTCGATGTCACGCTCTACGCCAGACAAGTGGAGGGGCCTACACGCCTGCGCTCCTACCAACAACCCTAGACGACCCAGACGTGACCACTGCAATGTAACAAACTCGACCCCGCCCAGTCAAGAGCTCCAGACACACCGCAGACCCCGCCCCTGAGTGACGAAGCGACTATTCCAGGCGCACCCAGACCAGACCTGAACCGACGCAGACCCCCGCCGCCGGTCGTCCGAGCGCTCGCTCGCCCTGCATCCCCCCCCCCCCTACTCACCGACCACGTGCGGGTAGGCGAACTTGGCCGGTGTCATCCGCTCCGGCTTGGTCTCCACCGGCGTCTCCTCGAACCGCCTGCCGACAGCGCCGCCGGCATCGTCAGCGAGCCCGCCGGCACCCACGGCCTGCCGGCGCCGGACCCGTCAGCGAGCCGTCACCGGCTTCGTCAGCGGGCCCGCCGGCACCCACGACCTGCTGGTGTCGGGCGGGCCCGGCGCCGGACCCGTCGCCGAGCCGTCACCGGCGCCGCGCAGGTTCCTGCCCACCGCCCAAGGCGCAAAGGCCGCACGGCGCGTGGCTAAGCGCAATGGCGCACAGACTTTCTGCTCGCGACAGCGGTGCTGTCCCCATGCCGCCACCAGCCGCGTCCACCCTGAGCGGTCCCGTTATCAGCAGCGGTGCGACCGGCCCGGCTCGGCTCGACCGCTCGCCGCTGACACTCACCTGAGGCGTGATGATGACGTCCGTCTCTCTCTCGACTGACCTGAGGGGTGCCCATGACGTCCGTCTTCTCCCGACTGACCTGAAGTGCTGACGACGTCCGTCCCATCCCCACTGACCTGGGGGGTGTTGCTGACGTCCGTCCCTCTCTCGACTGACATGAGGGGTGCTGATGGCGTCCGACCCCTCTCGACTGACCTGAAGGGTGCTGATGACGTCCGTCCCCTCCCCACTGACCTGGGGGGTGCTGATGACGTCCGTTCCCTCCCCACTGACCTGAGGGGTGCCGATGACGTCCGTCCCCTCCCCACTGACCTGAGGGGTGCGACGACGTCCGTCCCCTCTCGACTGACCTGATCGGAGCTGATGGTGTCCTCCCAACTGACCTGAGAGAAGCTGATGACGTCCTCCCGACTGACCTGAGGGGTGCCGATGACGTCTGTCCCCTCCCCACTGACCTGAGGGGTGCTGATGACGTCCGTCCCCTCCCCACTGACCTGAGCCGGGCGGAGACGTCTCCGGCCAGGTAGGACTCGCTGGCCAGGATGGCGCTGGGCTCGTAGGCCAGCGCCGAGCCGGGCCGCTGCTGGTGGAAGTCGGCGGCGAAGCTGCGGCACGCGCGCGCACAGACCGGCCCCGGTCAGCCCCGCCACCAGCCAACCCGGCGCGGCGCAGCGCGGTACGACACGGCACCCACTGAGCGTCGCGCGGCAGGCGGAAGAGGCGGTGAGGCCGGGGTCACGGGACTGTCGGTCGGCGGATGGTGCGTGTGTGTGTGTGAGCGTGTGCGCGTGCGTTGCGCGTGTACGTGTGCGTGCGTGTGGAGGGAGCTGGTGGCGCGCTGTATCTTTGGTCGTGCTTTGCGTCGCGCTGTGCGTTACAGTTCGCGTGAGTCGCGCGTTGGGTCGTACGCTGGGACCGCAGGTATATCACATGCCAAGCAACGGCTGTTCGTGGAAGACGGCGTCTGCATCAGAGTTTTCTGGCAAACATTACAGTGGAGGGATACAAAGCATTCACGTGCTGTGTGTTCGCAAGCGATGCTGGTTTCTTCCAGAAAAACCGCGCTGTCGCAATGCGATACGACACACACACGCACGCACGCACGCACGCACGCACGCACGCACGCACGCACGCACACACACACACACACACACACACACACACACACACACACACACACGCGCGCGCGCGCACGCACGCACACACGCAGCACGCACGCACGCACGCACGCACGCACGCACGCACGCACGCACGCACGCACGCACGCACGCACGCACACATCCCCCGCACAAAACCCCACACGATTTATTCCAGCCTCAAGCAACGTCCCGTTCACGCACGTTTTGGCCTTCGCAGACCTCCGTCCCTGTCCTGACCTGACCAGACCTGATCTGACCTGACCTGATCTGACTTGACCTGACTTGACCCCCGTGAGATCAGTGTAATCGCGAGAAAGGAAGCAGCGCCGGATAAAAGACCGAGGGTGTCATCGTGGGAGGGTAGGATTATTTGCATAGAACCTTGAACACCGCATGCCAGGAGTTGTCAAACCGAAATGCTTGCACCGAGCACCACCCAGCGCAAGCCAACTAAAACGCACCACATTCCAACGGTACGAAAATCAGCCAAACGAAACACCGCCCGAAGCAGAGTACTGTTCCCATGTACACGAAAGTCAACCACACGTCTATTCATGCACGCATTTCAACGTACCGCCGTCGGGCGGAGTACACACTATTGTACAAGGTAAAGTTCAATAATTCTGTAGTTTCCGAAATGTATCAGCAAGGAAAAATATCGTCTGTGAGCCAGGCCAACGTTTCTTATTTCAGGTGTTTCAACGCACTGGGCGGTGATGTTAGGATATGACTCATAGTTGAGTGTGATTAATAGGTAGGTAACATACAGTGAATGCCAAACCCCCATGTCCGTCATTACTTTTGGGCGACATTGAGAAAAGAAAACAATCACTGGTGTTTGTTTTATGTGAATGGAACTACTCATCATATAACCGGAACTGGGTAATCTCATTCGCTATTGACAAGAAGCATACGAGAGCCTCCCCTGGAATCACCCTAAATCACGAGCTCATCTCCCCAAACATCTACTCACCTTCAAAAGCCCCCTCCCCAAGCCATCAATGGCGTCCCCCGACCAGCCCGCTCCCGTCTGCGTCCGAGGAGTGGACGCCCGCCCCGGCACAGTACTGCCCCCCCCCCCCCCCCCCGTCCCCATAGCTGAGCATCAGCACGCACTTGTCCTTGGTGTCGTCGCCGTTCACCGAGCTGCGCCCGCTGTGCACGCTGGTGCGCTCCTCGCTGGCCGGGTAGCCGGCGTACGAGGCGGCGGCGGCCGGCGCGCCGCCCGCCCCCTGCAGCAGACTGCGGTAGTGGCGCGCGCACAGGTCCCGGTAGAACGGCGGGTTGTTGGTCCTGCCGGCGGCGGCGGCCCCGGTCACCACGGGTCACTGTCGTCAGGCGGGGTCACGGGTAACGGTCTTCATTGGGCAGGGTCACATGTCACGGTAGTCAGGCGAGGTCACAGGTTACAGCCGTCAGGTGGGGTCACAGGTCGGCGACGGCCCGGCTCACCGCGGGCCGCCGTCGCTAGGCGGGGTCACGGTCGTTACGCGGGGTCACAGGTCACGGTCGTCACGCGCGCCTCGTCGGAGAGCGGCCACGCCACCACCGCGGACAGCTCGACCCCACCTGTATGCGCTCATCTGCTGCGTGAACAGCTGCGGGTTGGTGGCGCGCAGCCGCTCCAGGTGCACGAAGTAGCTGTAGAGCGTGCGCGGGTCGTAGGCGGCGCGCTGGCCGGCCGCGTACCCGGCCGCCGCGTCTGTCGACCACCAGGAGCGGGCGTCAGCGGGCGTCAGCGGTCGCGAGCACCGCCGGATCCGTCGCCGCCCATACACGAGCACGCCACGCCACTTACGCCACCGCACAGCGGCGCCAAATCGGGCCACAGAACTCTTCCTTCTAAATGGCGCTTGCCAGCGGCCGATATGGGGGCAAATCACCGCCATTCCCAGCCGAGGACCCGAGCGGAGCTGACATGCGCGAGGTCTGCCCGGCCCGGGCTATCTCACTAAGCGGCCAGTGTGCGGCGTCCCTCAAACGTCTCACAGTCGGCTGACACGCCCCATACCAGGCTATTCGTGGACCCATCCCGCCGCTAAGGCCATCACCGTCGCAAAATGAGCCATCATGGAAGAGATTCGCCTCACGTGACGTTATTCATAACCCACTCACGTCCGTAGAGGGCCGGGTCGGCGGCGCGCGACGCGCCGCGCTCCCGGCCGCCGTAGTAGCCGTGGCCGTAGCTGTCGCGGTGCGAGTAGTGCGAGTGCGAGCGCGAGGGCGGGCGCGGCTCGAAGTCGCGCTCCGAGCCGGCTCGGCTGCTCGGCCGCGAGCGCTCCGGCTCGTACGGCTCGTCCCGGTCGCGGCGCCGCTCCCGGCGCGTGTCCAGCTCCCGCCGTCGCCTGGCCGGCGCAGGGGCAGGCGTTAGAGGCGGCAACCGGCGGCTCGGGGATCAGGGCAGGCAGGGCGGCGCCCCCGGTACGGACGCCGCAGTACACGGGCCCCGGGGAACGGAGGGCCGCCGCAGCAGCGATAACAACTCAGACGCTGGACCCAGGCGGAGGCTCTTGTTCACGAGAGCCTCCGTCACAACGTTTTCGTCGCGATTACACACAACGCCACAAAGCCGGTGTCCTGACGGTCCTGGCGCTGCCCCTGGCTCGGCTCGCAGCGCCGCCCGTGGCAGGACCCCTGGCACCGCTCCTGCCGGTCCGCCGCCGCCCGGCCGGTCGCCGCCTCGGCCCGGCGCTCACCTGCTGTCCTCGTACTCGTCGCGCGAGTAGCGGTCCTCGCGCCGGCGCGGGTGACGGTCGTAATCGCGGCCGTAGTCGTCCTCCCGCCGGCTCTCCACGCTGTCGTACCGGTTACGACGCTCGTAGTACCTGCCGGACGGGCGCGGGTGGTCACGTGGCGCGGGACATTCCGATGTCTGGCATGGGGCACTTATGACAACAATGAGGCCAGCATAGCAATCAGTGAGACGTGTTCACGTTTCTCACTCGCATTAAGTGTGCAAGTATCCATCCCTCGTTTGAGCATGTTACTAAAATATGCGCTTCAAGAGGTCCCCAAATTAAATAATAACCAAGGTCAAGCAAAAAGCAGCGCGGACGCGACCGTCATTCTGGGATATTAAATGAGCGGCGTTCTTCAGTCAAGTTACGTTTAGAAAACGTTGGTTTATCGCTGCGTGGGGCGCTGATGTACCTGAGCAGGTCCCTTTCGAACCCTACGCTCAATACGATTAATTGAATTCGGAATGTTTCGGCTTCAACGTTTGTGTTTCGGGCTGCCTTTAGCGTAATATCGTGCATCGGGTGTTAAAATATGAAAGCTTGGATGGCTGACTATTCCCGTTTTCTGTCGTTGGTAGAGTCTGCACAAATTTCAACCAATCTATTTGTGCGTTGTGCTTTTGAACCTCCTCTGCCACGTTTTTGCTTAACCGTGTTTACTCGTAATCAACATTTTGAAAATATTTTCCAACGGCTGACTGTTTCCTTTCTTTGACCAGCACCTTCTGCGATGCTGAAGATCAGTAATTTCCAGCACAAGTCATTATTCTGAAGCAAACAGAAGCCGAATGGTCCTATTGCTTGTATCAGGAAGCGCGCAGTACGTTTGTTAGCCGCTAATGGCTCAAGTGGCTACGTCCGTCCACCCGCAATACAGCCATCGTGCTGCACTGATTGGTCACTGGCCCTCCCGTGTACCCGACCTCCAGAGGGCGATGCGCTCCCCGAAGTTCAGCCTGATGGTGGGCCATCACCAGACATCGTGGAAATGTCAGGTGTTCAGCTTCACAGAGGCGCTAGATTACTTTCCGCACGTGGTCAATCGACAAAGAACTTAGAAAGGCTGATCCTACGTTGCGGCGTTGCAAGCGAACACCATGGCCACTGGCAATGATGACTACGTATTGTCGCTCTCACCTGTCGTCCCGCTCACGGTCCCGGTCGCGGTCCCGGTCCCGGTCCCGGTCTCGGTCTCGGTCCCGGTCCCGGTCCCGCTCCCGATCTCGGTCCCGATCACGATCACGATCTCGGTCCCTGTTCCCATCTCGGTCGCGGTCCCGGTCCCGGTCCCGGTCGCGGTCCCGATCGCGGTCCCGGTCTCTGTCCCGGCGGTCCGTGCCCCTCTCGTCGTAGCGGCGGTCGTATCTGTCACGCTCCCGGTCCTCCCGGTCGCGGCCGCGCTCGTCGCGACCGCGCGATTCCTCGCGCTCCTCGCGGCCGCCGTCCTCGCCGTCGCCGCGCCGCGTGCTGGCCGGCTGCTGCTGCGGCGGCGGCGGCGCGGCGCCGGCTGCCGCCGCCGCCCGGTCCTCCGAGCCGATGGTCTCGGAGCGCTGCGGCCGCGGCCCGTCGGGGGAGCGCCGCCGCTCGGCGGCCGGCCCGTCCGGCGGCGGCCGCGCCGCGCCCGGGCCGTCGGCGCCCGGCGGCGGCGCCGGCGGCTTCACGGCCGCGAAGGCGGAGAGCCGGCCGGAGCCGGCCGACGGCGGCGCCGGGCCCGTGCCCGGCACCACGCGCGGCTCGGCGGCGGCCGAGGCGGCGGCCGGCGGCGGCGGCGCGTGCGAGCCGTCGCCCTGCGGGTGCGCCCACTCCGGGCCGCCCGGCGGCGGTGGCGGCGCCTGCCGGCACAGACCGAACGTCACACCGCGGACGGACAGCTGGTGGCGGACGGGCGGGGCACCGGGCACCGGCGCCCAGCTGTGTCTGATGTATGGGAAAGGTGGGGGAGGGTTTAGGATTGATTACAGCTTACGAAGGGATTAAGAAGAGATATTAGTATTACGGATGGACTAACCGTTCGGATTATTGTCCTCCACTGGTGCTAGTATGCACGCGACGTTTCTGACAGTTAACTCTCTCTTCGCGCCGTCACGCTGACAGATGGCTGAAAGCCAAGCATCATTCCGCACTTCTTAGGATTCAATAACACCCGACGACGGCCGGAGAATTAACCGGCCGAGACGCTGTGTACATACTAACGCACCAGAGACGGCGAGATTCCAAACAATCATTTCATCTGTCGTTCAACGTTCAGCTTGGTATTGGAGGTTTGTCAATTTCCGAGAAAACGGTGTTGAGCGAGCAAGCAATAGTGCAATTCGTTCACCATCTACGGGGTAAGCGTCAGCGACAAAACGGTCCACGTCTCCGGGGCGGAAAAGCCAAGACCCCCTCCCCAGGGCGGCACAACAATGAACCCAAGCCTGCCACACAGCTCCACACGTGGCCCGTCTCTACGCTAACCCTCCCGCCTCCTCCACTTACGGCCGACGACGCCTGCGCCGCCGCCTCGTCGGGCGGCGGCACCTCGCGGTTCTCGGGCTCGTCGGCGGCGGGCGCCGCGGCGGCGACCGGCGGCGCTCCGGCCGTGCCCAGCGGGCTGTTGCGCTGCTCGCCCGGCGGCGGCGGCGGCTGCGGCGCGTGCGAGCCGCTGGAGTGGCTCGAGCGCGGCCGGTCGCCGCCGTCATCGGCCGGCGCCGGTGCTGGCGGCGGCGGCTGCGGCGGCGGCGGGCCGGCTGCCGGCGGCTCGGCGTCGCCCTCTCGGCCGCCGGTCGGCGTCATGCGATGGCCGAGCGGCTCGGCGCCGGCCGCGCGCGTGGCGCCTGACTCCCAGCCGAGGCCGGCGGCGTCTGCGGCACGGCAGAGACGGCGCGTCAGGCGCACCGGCGACTGTCGTCCCTTTTATACACTGACAGCGACTGTTAGCTCAAGACGCTGTCGTGGAGGGTACGGATGAAGCCTCGTGAGCTCGACACTGGCGGCAGCGCTGCCGACCATGATTTGGGCTTTAGGTCGCGCAGACTGCCCAGCTCATATGGTGAGTACAGTCGGCGGCGAATGGAGGACACTGTACGTGGCAAAACAACAGCGGAATATGCGATGTTTTTCTGCAACTTACGCTGAGTACAGTCCACGCGCCATGACAACCATGCATCCGCACTGGACACCTTATCGTCCCCGCACGAGGAGAGGGCGCGGGCCGGCGCCACTCACCGTGCACGGGAGATTCGACGGTGCCGTTCATGTGCAGCTGTCCCAGACCTGCCGTGAGAGCCTGCACGGGCGCCTCCTGCCCCTCGTCGCCGCCGCCGAAGAACACGCCGACGGTGCCCGTCTCGTCGTCGGCCATCTCGCCGTCGCCCTGCTGGCCCCAGCCCCAGCCGTCGGCCGCGTACGGCTGGCTCGGCTGCGGCCAGCCCCAGTCGCCGCCGTTCTGCTGGCCGTGGCCGGCGAGGCCGTCGCCGGCGGGCGGCGCGCGCTCGGCGCCGCTCACCGCCGCCGCCGGGTACAGCTCTCCGCCGGGCGGCGGGTACGACTCGGCCGCCGGCGGCCCGCTGCCGTCGCTCGGGTGGCGCGCCGACCCCGGCGGCGTGCCGGCCGGCGGGTACGACGCCAGCACGGGCCGGCCGCCCGACATCGGGTACAGGTCCGGGTGTCCGCCCGCCGGCGAGTAACCGTCCAGGTTGGGGTGACCGTGACCACCGGACGGGGGATAGCTATCCAAGGCCACGTGTCCGCCGGCGGTTGGGTAGTGGTTACTAACGGGAGGGTAGTGGTCTGGTCCCTGATGACCACTGGAGGGTGGGTAGCGGTCTGCACCCGGCTGGCCACTGGAAGGCGGGTACCTGTCCAAGCCTGGATGGCCCCCAGAAGGCAGAACGGTGTCCGAGCCTGGATGAGCACTCGAAGGTAGGTAATGGCCTTGCGGATACCCACTGGCGGGTGGGTAGTGGTCTGAGCCTGGGTGTCCACCGGAGGGTGGATAGTGCTCTGGGCCTGCATGTCCACTAGACGGTGGAAGATGGTCCACGCTCGCAATACCACCAGCGGGCGGGAAACTATCCACACCCGTATATCCACTGGACGGCGGGTAATGGTCTAACTCCAAACCCCCGCTCGGGGGTGGGAAGCCGCCCGCGCCCGGCTGGCCGCCGGACGGCGGGGCGGGATGTCCGCTGGCCGACGGGTAATACTCGGCGCCGGCCTGCAGCGCCGCGGCCGGCGCCGGAGCGAGGTCGCCCGCGTAAGGCTGCCGCGCGGGCGGCGCCGCCGCGGCCGGGTACATCTGCGGCGGCCGCGCCGGCGGCGGCGCGCCCGAGTACGGCTGGCCCGGCGGCGGCGCGCGCGCCGGCGCCGGTCGGCTGGCGCGCGCCGGGGCGGCCGCCGGCGGCTGGGGCGGCGGCCCGGCGCCCGCCGCGCCCGCTGAGTACTGGTGCGGCGGCGTGGGCGCCGCGGCCGCCGGCGACGGCTCCCAGGAGGCGTTCCAGTCCCAGCCGCTCTGGCCCTGCCGACGCCGGCGCAGCCACTGTCAGCACCGCCGGCCGCCTCACGTGTGACAGTGCGCATGAGGGGCGCTGGCGGGGCGGAGTGGCGAGGCAATGCCCATACAGTGCAGCAGTTATTAGTTGAATGGCCATTGTATAATTTTATCAACACAACTGCATCTGACCTTTCAAAAACAATTGTAACAAGAGTTGCAATAATGCGCCAACAGAGGTCAAAGCACAGGTCAAAAGCATAGGTCACCTTCCAACAGCCCCCACCGCCATTTATTCGCCGTAAGGCACGCCTTACACAGCCACCGCCCAACCCATTACTGCCCACAGAAATCTACACAACGCATTATCTCTGACATAAATGTCCCAGCACTTTGCTGCGGACAGCTGTGGCAGTTCTGACAGCTCCATAGCAGCCTAAGCCGACGATGGGGGGGGGGGGGGAGGGGAGGGGAGGGTGTTACTCGCCTGGTTCGGCGTCGTCACGCTGTCCGGGGTGAAGACCTTGACGTTTGGGTCGGCTCCACCCCAGCCGGCGGCCTGCTTAGCTGTCGGAGGAAACCCCGCATTAGCACAGCAATTTTCCCTCGGACAGTGGCGCGCGCGTGCTGGAAATTACCTGCGCAACTATGTCACAGTACAGCGCGGAAACACCGCAAACGCAGAATGATCTTTTGTCACTCGTAAAGATGTGTGAATGCATTCTGTTTGTATTTTGTTGTTGTAATTGTTACTTGTTCTCTGACGTAGTCAAAACGCTGATTTTGACTGACTGATCAGTCATGGACACTTACTTTGAGCAGGTTTCCGATTGTGTCCATGGAGTCCCTGGTTCCTATACATGGTGGCGGATCACCTGAAAATGGTCAGATACTATTAAAACCACCTTCCTTAATAACATTCACCTGGGCATTATCTGCATGAACTAGTCCGTGACCAACAACAAACCAGCGCAGCTGAACATCAGACAAAGCAGTCGTAAGCCGCAGGAAATCAACATCATCCTAGCCGATCACAGGTAGCTGCACGGCACGAAGTCGAGTCTCCCTTCTAACAAAGCCGGTTAGGTTTCCACGTTCAGCTCTTCGCGTGCGACTCCATTCGGCCACTAGCATACCAATAACATAATCACGCGGGGATTTGTGTATCTCCTAGCGAAACCGATCCGGCCAATTTGCGTCGAGTCTCGAGCGATGTAGCGCAGACAAGCGCGCGCGTGATTTGAGCCGTCACCGAACCTCTCCACCTAAAGCGCACCTGATAGCCAGGCGCTGCGTGACTCGTCTGGGGTTCTGGCGAGAACCCAAAAATACGAGATGACAACACCGTCCCATGACGAAAACGTTAATGTAAATTCAATTCGGTTACAGGTATGCACTGAATGCGTGGAATTGGAGCAGATTTTACCACATCACACAATCGTCGGTGGGCCATCGCTCAAGAAAATAATCACAGCTTAGACAGATTCCAGCCCATTTAACGGCGAGAAGTGGACGGAGGAAAACGAAAATGGGCGTAGAACCAACCGGGGTTTCCTTTCAGCGAAGATGTGGGCTGTGCGGACAGCCCCGTCACCGGTCAAGACAACAACGCAGTTTAACTGAAAGAT